TATTTAAAGAGGTAGCCATTCTGTTTTTAATATTAAGTTTATCATCTGGTACGTTATATTACTGCACCAAATGCAAGCATTTACCCGTACTAAATATTAAAACTAATACGAAATAATTCAATGAATTTCGCCCAAAATCTAATTTTATTTATTTATTTATTTTTTCGTAAATAGAACATTGAGTCCCTTGCGATGCACAGAGCAGCTGATCATTTAGGCCATGGGGTGAAGCTCAAAAGACGTCTAGAAAACGAATTCCGTTCCGATCTTTTCATAATAAAAAATTTAGGCCTACAATAGTTAAGTAATATGTATTGAATCAAATATAAAAAGTTCGACAAAAATATCTTCTGCAATTTTAAGAAAATTACCGTTTTATTACGTTCGTAGGCTACTAGTCGTCGGAAAACACACCGCGATACAGCGGGGTAGAAGCACGTCGCGATCATACCATGAGCTGTCCACTTGCGTCAACTCGCATGAAATCGCGTCATTTCAGGTCAAATCCTGTTAAGTTATGTCGGATTGCGTCAGTACACGTCAATTTGCGTCAACTTACAGCATAATTATTGAGAAATTTCAACGAAAAAACTTATTTTATTATTGTAATTGCAATTCTTTGATATTCTTTTTCAAAACAATAATTGTGTAACAATTTGTGCGAATGCCAAGTAGCGCGGATCGGTGGGTCACAGAATTCGTAAACTAAGCCGATTTTGGAGCCTCAAAAATATTTTTGTCACAGAGGAAGAATTAAGAAGTAGCAAAGTATATTTCATTCCATTCAAGTAAGCAAAACTCAACGAAGTGCACATAACATTGTTAATTGACTGTTAATTGCTATAAACATGGGTTCAGAATTGTTTATTTGTGATTTGCGTTGCCATTGATCTTACCTAATTAATGCATTACATAATAAAACTTGATCACTGATCTACTGATAACACTGGCCGACTGAGGGCGTATTTTTCTATCCGTATTATCACCTCATGATACAATTATTGTTATTATATACTATATAGTAGAGTACATTAAATAAATACAGCCTAATAGGCCTAATTATTAGATTGTATTTACTTTAATAAATACAACCAGGTTGTATTTATTTAAGTAAATGTGTGATACTTAAAGAAATACAACAGAAATTATGATGCTCTATTCTATATTTTCACGAAGCTTGGTTTGTTCCATGCACACCGAATTTATCTTGTATTTCTAGTATTCCGGGTTCTGCCAATTAGGCCATGGGGTGAAGCTCAAAAGACGTCTAGAAAACGAATTCCGTTCCGATCTTTTCATAATAAAAAATTTAGGCCTACAATAGTTAAGTAATATGTATTGAATCAAATATAAAAAGTTCGACAAAAATATCTTCTGCAATTTTACTTTCTAATTGTAATAAAGGATGAAATATAGGGAAATTTAAACTTGATGCATTGTTATGATATGCATGGATGTATATTCGTGTTGTATACTCTGGTTGACACATTAAATAGAAATTAAAATTTAATACTGTAATATGAAAAATTCATATTTATTTCTCAAATATCCTGAGAACTTCTCCTCCCTTCCTCTGAACTTGCTTATACAATATATAACTCTATATTTATGTACACATGTTATACATCTTAATAAAAGCTTCTTGCACTCTAGTGGGTCTGTTACTTTTTAAATTTTTTATATCTTACTTAATAAATACAGTGAAGCGTTTCGCAGTCCTTTGTCATTGTGTGATTATGCTAATGATTCTAAATTTCTCAAGGGTTACGCCGTTACGTTATACTTTTTTTAAATTTTGTACATCATACATAATGAATAAAAATAGATAATACTTTACGTACTCCTGTGTCATTGTGTGTTTAGTCTCATAGTTCTAAGTTCTTACGTTCTCATGAGTTACACCGTTGCATTATACTTTTTAAAAACTTTCTATAATATACCTGTACAAAATAAATAAAAGTAGATAATGCTTTACGTACTCCTGTGTCACTGTGTGTTCAGTATCATAGTTCTGAAGTTCTTACATTCTCATGGGTTACACCCGTTACGTTTAAATTTAAATTTTCTATATTATACATAATAATGATGAAATAAGAAAAAATCTCAACCAAACAAATCATCTATGTAAATTTCGTCTAGGTATTCATCGTCTGCAAATTGAGCATCTTCATTCATGGTGTCTTTATCATCTCTGTTCTGACAGTTTGTACATTGACAAAGATCGGAGCATTTCATGTTCATTTTATTGCACTGACATCTGCCTTGATTGCACCCGGTCTTACAACCGCATTTGATGATCTCCATTAAACCTGTCTCTTATACACATCTAGATGTGTATAAGAGACAGAGGATAAAGAATATATATACTTTTGTATATTTTTGAAAGCCAATTAAAAACTTATAACGCTTTGTCTATATATCTCCTATTTTCCCCAAATTTCCTGCATTTTATTCCGTCCAGATATGGGAAATATGGAATAGGAAATTACGTAGTGAAAGAGTTAATGCTGGTTTTGGGATGGCAAGCCTCTTATTGGTCACATTGCATATGTGGCTAAGTGATAAGGCAAATGGCTTCTATTGTAATAATATTATGCTGTTAACATCCTATGTATACATTGATGAGACTTTTAACGATTAAGAAATAGTTTATGGTTCTGACGGTCGAACTTTTTTTTGGTGCTTTTAAATATTATTATAATAATTATCATAATGAGTGAAAGTATTAGGAAAATTTCGGAACGGGACTGAACGTTAGGATTTTCACCCCATGGCCTAATTGTGGCTGATCCTGATTTGAAAATAGGGCATGCGCAAAATATGTTCTATAAGGATAATTATGAATAATTCATGAGAATTTACCAAACTATCGTGCGTTAAAAAAATGCGCTCAGGGAGATTTTTATAGATCACCAACTTGAGCCTACCATGGTTGGGACTGAGGGGAAAATGTTATTATTATGGCACCTCTAGATTACCGGAAATAGCACTCTCAGACATAAATTTGTTTACAATTTTCTTTTTTTTTTCCTAATTTATATTTTTTAATTTCAAAAATTTGGAGGGGGTGGCTGAGACCTCCCGCGAATCTGTCGCTGCATTTTCCCAGTGGCGGTTCCGATGGGTCTTTTCTCGAGAGTACAGGTTAAGAATGCTATATCTAGAAATATACTGACCAAATCACAATTAGTTTTTAAAAATAATATGAAAGACTGAATATTGCGAAAATGATGAAAAAATAAATTCTTCAAAATTTCTTATCATTTCCATAATTATATGAAATGAGATGCATCCTCAATGAATAAATAAAGTGAAATGTACACGAACACATTTTATGTAAAGCAATACGAATAACAATGACCACAAGGTCTATTATATTTACACAAGTTGACGGATGTTCAAAAACCTATAAAAAAGATTCTAGATTCAGGAACACTATTATTGTCCACTTTAAAGTAGGAATTTGTTTTTCTTTTGCTTAAAAAGGATAAAATTGCATGAAAAATCACAAGTCAAAACAACTTGGCAATGACGAGAAATACGTTGAGATATTAACAAGTTAAAATAGTAAACTAGTAAAAAGTCAAAATAAAATTTACTGTTTAAAACTGTTTTAAAATTTACTAAACTAAAAAACCCTAGCATTTTGCTATAAAATGCATCCACATGTCAACCTCACTTATCAGCTGCCCTGTGCACCTACTGTTCGATTAATAAATAAATAAATATAATTTGATTTTGGGCGAACTTAGCAGATACAATTAATATAAATGCAGTTGGGTGGATGTGGGTGGTTGGAGGAGGGGAAGGGGGGTGCAGATGGGGCGATTGCATCCCCTCAAATTGTATTAGGAAAAATATTTGTTTATTGTTGATATGAATTACCGGTCAGATTTTTTAAGATATGAGAGTGCAATTTCCGGGCACCTAAATGTTCGCACCTGAGCCCCAAACACAGCATTTTGCTATAACATAAAGACAGTATGCCAATATGCTTATTTCTCCATGAATAAATAAAGTGCAAGAAACACGAACATAATTATATTATATAGGCCTAATGCAATATGAATAACAAGGAATGTGCATATTGTATTTACACGAGTTGACAGATATTGTGAAATACATTTTAAAAATGAGGCCTAATTAAATTAAACTTGTGTTATGAATACAATATGCTATACATTATTTAGTAAACCTATTATATGTCTTTTGTTAAGCCACATGAATATGTTATGTTATATGATTTTCAAATAACAAAGTGCTGGTATATTATCTAGTATTATTATCTAGTAAACTTTTGATTTATTAATGGCTGGAGGACCATGTAGGCCTATGTAGGTATTCCTTCATATGGACAGATCCACCAGGTGATAAGCACTCAATAGAGCAAAAAGATTCAGGGTAATCAACTTTGGGTGGAGGGTAAATATTAGCATAAGCACTGTACGTTTCTACAGGGGTTCAACTCAGGCCCTACAACGGCTCCAGTCAGGTTGGTAGGACAAACGCCAGGAAATCAGCAATTTTGATTAGATATTTATTAACTGATAAGATATACTTATTAATCAATCAGTTTAATTGATTAATAAGATATACTTATTAATCAATTAAACTGATCAATTTCCACTTTTTTCATTAAAAAAATCCATACTATGACATGGCCCAGACCGCCCAATATACATGCGTACAACCCGTAGCTGAGCTACGGACCTGGTTTAAATCGAACACATTTCAATTTTTTTTTAGAGTATTTCCAACATACTGAGCAGGTCGTATGGTAAAACATCATTTTTAAAATATCATTTCTACTTAAAGCAATGTTTAACTACTATTACTTGTACGTACATTAATATTTATGAAATACCATGGTGACAAATATAAATGATAAAGCATGAATGGTTAATTGATATATTTAGTACAAGTATGAATGACTGACATAATAGAATATTGCGTGTTTTGTGAGCTACAGAGACAAAACTAATAAAAAGAAGTCATAATAATGCGATGATGATTAATGTATATTTGGCTGCACCAATAAAAATAGCTTCCGCCGTACCTGATTACCCATTATTTTGTAGGAAAGAAGCAACAGGTTTTAAACAGCTAATATGAGGCATGTTGTGGCAAAATGGCTTTTGTTGCAACAATTTTAATTCAAGTTATTAGTATTTTCAAATACCTGCGTATGTAATCTTTAAAATGAGGGGTCATTCATTGAAATTCGACATTTCAAACCTAAGTTATTGTAAAGTACAGCACTATTAGAGTCACAACAAACATGATTTTGAGTAATTGCCATCCCAGGGGCGTTGCCAGGAATTCCCGACAAGGGGTCCACACCCCCCACCACGTCGAAGAAGCCTAGCATACCCCAACCCCCTCTTTGTAGGAAAAAATTGTGTTGACAAAGGTATTCTTTATTTAAAAAGAATAATTAGATAGAATACCAGACGCCCCCTGTCGGGGTAATAAACACCTGTCGGGGAAGATCTGGTGCTTCCACCGCAACCCATACGATCGCGATAGTATACAAAGCCTCACACATACAGTAGCGCTGCTCACACTATACAGTTTTTAATTCCTAAAACTTAACAGCTTAGTATAAAGCATACCTAAATTGAACTTGTGGGGTACACAAGTCCCTACCGGGGGTCCTGGACAACCATCCCCCGCGCTAGCGCCGTCCTTACCAAAGTTATATGTGCATACATTGATTAACGATCAAAATAACATTAAATAAATAAATTGTTGACCATTTCAAGAACTACTACTTTAGAATATGATTAATAAGATATTAAACTTCTGATTTTTTGGCAATTTTTTGAGTTCCTATATTTTATAGCTCATTTACTCAATACTGGCCTTTGCGACAACTTAACCCTTTCGCCATGGCATGCCTCATATGATGAGCTAAAGTATATAGTGTATTATATCAAAATGGTATTTTTAAGCTTAAAATGAAAAAAAATAAATAAATTAAATAAAATATGTTGAGTCCTACTGTAATAATTACAGCAGAACCAAGAAATATCTATGTTTCAATTATCAAATATTTAATATTTAGAGACACTGACAATAAACTATTAGCTTATCCAGCGAGCCGTCCGGCCATCTTTTGGATGGCCTACAATTATTTAGGACGGCCACCTTTACCGTGACAGCTTGGCCTAATCAGCTTGGCCTAGCCTAATTGGGCCTTGTCTACCTTTAGCAAATCCTTTATATTCTTAAAATCTATTGAATATTACATTAAACTAAACAAAAAAAAACATTTATTGATTGAATGTACGCTGTTTTCGTACCAATGTTCAGTGGGGATTCCCAAAGATGGGTGTGGAACTGAGTCGATAGGCACGATAGGCACTGGCTTCCACTTTGGACAGCCTATTTCGTTTTTCTGGCTAAACCCCTGCCCTAAACTGAACAATACTCAAAAATGATCATTTTTCCTCTCTTGAAAAGTTTTTTTATAACCTTATAAACGATACCAATATCTCTGTATATATTAGAAAATGTTAAATGATAAATGTGATAAATGTTTTACATTGTAATATGGTATCAAAATATTACACAAAACGATTATAGGCATTAATATTTTCAAATCATATTACAGTATTCCCCAAAAATACCACTGGAGGGAAAAATTTTAATTTAACTCCACGGTATAAAAATGTCTATAAATTGAATGAAACCTAAAAACGTAAATTTTTAAATCTATCTTAAGTATTTTTTACAACCTACAGTACAGAAATTAAAGATACCAAAATTAAATCTGAATATACTGTGTAGTATGCTCATTGTCGAAATCTAGACTTCCAGTGAAGGGTATCTTGAATACAATTTCATTGAACACTAATCATTGTGGTAGACCCCAAACCTTTTATTTTATGTGTATTGGATTTATACACATTTCAGTTATTATTCCATGTGAGAACATTTATACATGATATAAGAGGGTTTGGAAACCAATCTTTAAGTTCTTTTAGCTGTACAACCAGTTGAATCTATCAGTTACTGTATGCGGCACCTCAATTTGCACCTGAAGTCTACCAAAACCCGAACACTGTTGTTCTGTCCACTATCAGTTCTATTTACATTTACATTCATTTCAAGTTATACAATTTCTGTGAACTTCTTCCTCTCATCCTCATTTTTTTTTTAGACATGGTAGCTTAATCAGATGAAGCATTTCTTTCATGCGCACATAGTTCACCTAAGGGTTCTTTAAGTAATGTACTGTTTGGATAATACCTCATATTGCTTGATTCTTGAGGTTTGGTACTAACTTCCTCATCCAGAACTTCCTGCAGTCTTCCACAAGCGTCGGAAATTGACATCAGTGCCATAACCTGGTTGGGACTCTTAACCAAGTTGTGTGAAATTTCACGCATGCTAGATAATTTAGCGATGGCCAATTCTACCTCATTGATCTGAGTTCCATTTACCTTCAGCTTTTGTTTATAACATGATTCAAGATTCTGCAGTTGGTCATCCATACGGAGATCTATCAATTGACAGAGCTCATCTCTTTGTCTTCTTATATCTGTTTTACACTTAGTGTAATTTGAATTCAGAAGAGACTCAGACTTTTTAAGTTTTTTGATAGAAGCACGAAGAGAGAGTAATTTTTCATCTGATGCTGCAACAAGTTGAGAAGCAACAGTTGAGATGGTTTGGAATGCGTCCTTTGTATCGATGATGTTATGGTCGTTGCTTCTAGGATGTTCAAGCTGTGTACATCCCACACAAACCGGTTTCTTGCATGTGTCGCAGAAGAAATGAAACGGCATTGTATGTTTTGGGCAATTTATAGGTTTTGATGCAAATTTTTCAACAGGATCGATGGATTTGTATTCTTCCAGGCTTAGTATGGTATGATCTCGTGCTGTTTTTATTATTCTGTGAGAATCTTTACATTCTGTACAGTACAATTCTTCACACTCTTGACAGAAATAACTGGCCGCCTTTTGACAAGCGCATTTTGGAACCGATTTCTGTTCCAATGCAGTCACATAATCTAACAATCCAATGATAAAAATATTGTTCGGAAGTTTTTTAAGTCCCTCTTTCGGAATTTTGCAGACTTTACGACATGTCGGACAGCTGAGTCTGCCTTTGCTTTCTTTCACCCATTTTTCAACGCACACAAGACAAAATGAATGGACACATGGGAGTAACTTTGGGTTTGTAAAGCGGTCCAAACATAAAGGACATTGGAGCGCTGTAGCCTCAATACCAGCAATGATCTCTTTAGAAACACATTTAGATGCAGTGGTACACATACTCTGGATTGACCTAAAAAAAAAAGAAGTAAAGAATAAAGTTATGATTAAAATTTTTAATTAAATTTTAGTGTCAAAAATTATAAAGAGGGTCCGAGCCAAAAGAGCAAACTAGAGTCTCGGTCAGGGTCCCGGAATAAAAATTACCGGTGAGGTTCACAGGGATAGTTTTTATGAATATATTATGGAAGGGCAAAAATGATGCTTTTAGTCTATTATGTAATTTGGATAGGTAAGTTATTATTAGTCAGACAACCTCTTTGTGGTGTTGGGCAACAGGACGTATAGCCCTGTCCAAAGGAGGTTGGTGGGGGAGAGGTTTTCTAAAAGACCTTTCTCTACATGCTTTTACAGGATTACCGGGCTGGAATGACTCAACATCTAACTAGTATTTAAACACTTAGTGTATATTATTTTAACAACAACTACATTAAATATTCTTAGAATACATATTTTTCTTTGATACTGTTATAAAATCCATATGTATTTACAGTATAGACTTGACAAAATTGGACACCATACCACACAACCAAATTTGGTTTTTTTTTCCGAAAGTAGAATTGGAAAAATCAAGAATTAATGAAAAACATGGAGGTGTAGGTACCTAGAGCTTGAACTACCATGACTGTTAGCACTTGATTGGCTCTTCCTGCTAGATGGAGAAATTGTCATTCTACATGGCCACGGCCCATCATCATGTTTTTGGTCCACAACTAAAACCTACAAAGACAAAAAAATTAATGCGTTTAATGTAATTTAAGTACATAGATTGGAAATTCTAAAAAGTGGCCTATTATTAAAAGACTTCTGCACTTATAGATTAAATTACTAATATACATAACTGCATTTGCTCACATTTTGGTCATAATCTGTATAAATGTGTAATAAAAATTTGCATCACCACATTGGCGATTCAAGGTTGTTTTTCGCTTACTAAAAAGCAAAGAAAAAAGGCGTAATTACTATAATGATCTCATGGATACAAACAGATTCCCTGTTATTAGTTCTAGTACTGTATATTTATTATCTTATTTGATTGATTTATTTATTTGCTTGAACATATGCCTTTGTGTCAGCAGCATTTGCAATGCTTAACTACGCTTAATTGAAAAAACAACACAAACTGCATTGAGCAAAATTTTACTACGGTAATTGAACTATTAGGAAAACATTTGAAATTACATAAGGGCAAGTACTCATTTAAATATATGGATAATGCCATAACCATAAAAAGCAAATGTATATAAACATGAACAGTACAAACAAAATCACTTAAAAAATTGTTCTTCAATCCAATTCAATATCATTTATTTCGCTTATTTTCACAAAGTACAAAAGAAATGGCATAAAATTAAATTAATAAGAGGAGAAAATTCCTGAAAAAGCAAGGCTTGTGTAGTAAAAAGATACAAGACAGGACATTATGGGAAAAGACAAATGAAAGAAAAACTAGATAACATGAGAGGCAAATTTAAGGCACCAAAAAGAGGCTGAGAAGAATTGCATCAAGTCCAAGTTGATTCATATGCATATACAGGTAATACCATAAAAAAATAAAAACACCTTGTTTCAATACAAGTATGGTCTACCTGTATACATACATATATGTTCAAATACATACGCTATACAATATTAACTGCAGTATAGCAAAAAACAATACCTATGATTTGCCATAATTTTGGTATGGTATTTGCCATCATAATGTCCATATATAGGCAAATCACAAATATTTGGTTTGCCACAGGAAACTTGAAAGTGGATAGAACACAATAAAAAAAATTGCAAGGTGTATCTATACTTGTAATGCCCTATATTATTTAGTGGGAGCGTGTGGTGCGGCGTGTTAGATTTGTAAGATCGGGAGTTCGAGACCGACGCTCGCCACATTGCTTGTGTCCTTGGGACATTACTTACGTTTGCCTCTCTTCACCCAGTAGTATACGTAAATGGGTCATGCTGTTACCCTGCTTGTCGGTGACCCTGCTACGACTGTTCCAGTAAATTAATAACAGCATCGATTCATACGAATGAACGATTCTGCAATAATATTATTAACATTATCAATATTTCTAACTTTTTAATATAGGTTATCCCCTACCTGTCCTTGATGTAGACCAGCATCTTGGACTGTGTTGTCTTTCTTTGCAAGCTGCTCATATGTATTGCTCATGTACTTACACCATATTGTAATCTCAGTCTTGTTTGGTATATTGAAAACTTCTCTCATTACATTCTCAATAGTTCCTAAAAAAAGCAAAAACCTAGGCCTAATTAGAAACAAAAATTAGGATTCGCATCCCAAAAAATTCTCATCAATCAATAATTTTGAACACTGTACTTAACAATGCAATTATGAATCAGATGAAATTAATCCCAGCAAATGAAAATACAGCACTGTACAGTACACACTGGGTATGCTTAAAGGGGGGGTGCGGGGATGGGACAAGTGGCCATATATTGCTTATTTAACCTTTCCTGAGTTCGGGAAAAATACTTAAAAAATTCAAAATGTTGAGATGTAAGGATAATTACAGAAACAAAACATGATATGATGAGACAGGAAAATCAGGTGAAAACGAGGCTGATCACTTTTTTCAGTAGCTTGGTAGCATTTTCTAACCAACTCATTAATATTCAAGACAAATCTGTCAATTAATTTTTGGCGAGCAGCTGATCGAAAAATCATCCCGACGATCGAGCAACAGCCTAGATACAGTACACTAGTGTGAAGTCGAGAGTTTTTGTGATTGTTTACGTACGCAGTTACAGAGAGACGGTTTAATTCAATCATGAGGAATAATTCAATTGAATTAATAAACGTATATCAGTCCGATGACTTGACTTGTTTGTTTATAATTAGGCCTACACATATGCCTAGGATTAGCACAGTCAGTGTCTACCCAGCAGCAGTAGCGCACTCCTGTCCGGGACACTGCTCCATTCCCGCAGCAGGTGAGTTCGCACGCAGCCTTATCCAGCTGACGGTAAAGATAGTAGGTTTCTACTACTAGCCTAGCCTAGACTTGTCATGCCATGCCATCTTTGTCACATTAATTGTGCTAGTGCATTTTTTTTTCATAATAATAGACCTAGGCCCCTAGGCCTACTAATAATAGTATACTATAGGCCTAGTCCTATGAAAAACTGTCTAGGCCTAGGCCTAAATGTCTAAAAAATGCACTGGCTAAATAAAGGTGGTGTGCTATAACACTACAGTATATCATCAAAGCCAACACCAATTCCTGTAACAATAAGATTATTATTGATATACTGTAGGCCTAGAAGCTAGGCTATACAACAATAACGCCCCATTAAATAATAACATGATGCATATATGTTACTCCAAACCTAACTTTCAGCTGTTGTTGAAATGTGGAATTCAAATAAAATATTATACATATATATTTTTGTAGGACAAGATATGTGAAAGGCCGAAACATGACACTCTCCTCACATAGGTATTTGCCAGTCGCCATGATGAGACAAACATACCACAACATTTGCCATGAGTACAACCACCCAACATTGGCATCTACGAAAGAAGGTGGTACAAAGCATACAAGCACCCAGCAAGACGTTAGCAAGAAACACTCTGGTTGTTTGATGAAACTTGTAATGAAAGCTATACACACAATTTAAGGTGAGCAAAAGAAAATTAAGTGAATATCTCATCACTGTTCAGCCAGAGTACATGAAACAAATATATTGGAATGGTAAAAAAATATCAGCATGGTGTGTCTGTTTTATTAAGAAACAACAATAATACATTACACACTAGCCGACAGGAAGGCTTCAATCAAGTAATTAAAAAATCTGAAAATACTGTCAATTGATGAATGTCTTTTCGGATTAGTACATACAGTATCTCAGTATGGTATGTTATTGATAAAGCAGCAAATGCCAATGTTTGATAACACTTTGATTTTTAACAAACCTGGTTTTGCATTATTGTAACTACTGTATTTATTCCTCAATAGGAGCAAATGACTGGATCAGATGGATGTGATGCAAACAATTCCATCTGTGTGGACATGATGAAATGGACATGCCCAATCCATGGTTAGCAGAAGGTGGCGATGCTCAGAGCTCTGCAGCAAGTGATTGAATCCAAAATATTTCCAAAGAATTAAATTAAAATGATTTATCTAGTGATTTTTTTTTCTGAAGATATACTGAAATACCACACACTTAAGTTTTTGTTTTTTACGCATCTGGTTTATATTGCATGCCAAATTTATAATAAATAAATAAATACTGTACCAGTATTACTGTACCTGTTTCACTTGCAAAATATCTTTAATATTATTAAATGGTATTATAATCCCATTCAATAGTAATCCTTTTAAAGCAAATATGTGACCCAGATTTAGAAAACAAATTGTGAGGATTAATTTTGAAATATGTAATGTGCGAAGTTGATAGTACAGTATGAAAATGTGGCTCAATATATACAGGAACAACTATTTTAATAT